AATTTTTTTCCTCCCAAAACTAGATTTAACACAAGTTGGGGCCCACAGGGCTTCCGCCCCCTGCCTGGTTTCGCCTGGAATAGAACTGGACCGGTCTAAGCTGGACCGGTCCAGTCAGCCCCTCCTGGGCCGGCCTAAAAGTACTCCCCTCCCAAAGACTCACCTTGTCCTCAAGGTAAAATGAGGGGAATTGATCTTTCATTCTTTAAAATGGCTCCCAAGTAGCATCAAAGTCGGGAAAGCCTCTCCATCTAATCAACACTTTTTTGTTGCCCTCTTTATATGATCTTACTCCTGTAAGCTCCAGTGGCTCTAAAACTACTTCCAAATCCTCAGTCAGTGTAGTTGGATGTTCTGTGCTAACTGCATGCTCCCCAGAGCTCTCTTCAATTGGGACACATGAAAAACTGGGTGTATGGTGTCTGATGGTGGTAACTTCAGTCGGTACGCCACTGCTCCGATCATGTCCAACACCTCATAAGGGCCGAAGTATATTGGAGTCAGCTTCTCGTTCCCCCTTCACACAACTGTCCTTTGCTTGTAGTGGCGTAGTTTTAGGAACACCTTCTCTCCCACCTCAAACTGCATGTCCCTCTTATGTGAATCCGCTTGCTTTTTCATGATTTGTTGTGCCCTCAGTAGATATTTCTTCAGTTTGTCCAGCACCTTTTCCCTTTCCTCCAAGTATTGCTCAACTAAAGAAACTGGTGTGCTTCCCCTCCCATAGTGCACTAGGTGTGGAGGGTCCTTGCATACATCACCTTGAAAGGAGTCATTTGAGAAGCAGAATGGTACGATGTATGGTACCAATACTCGGCCCAAGGTAACCACTTCACCCACATTCGCGGTGTTTCAAAGGAAAAACACCTCAAATATGTTTCCAAGCTCCGGTTCACCACCTCTGTCTGTCCGTCTGTTTGTGAATGGTAGGCGGTACTTCTCTTGAGAACAGTGCCCTGCATCCCGAAAAGCTCCCTCCAAAACTGGCTAATCTTCTTCCTCCACTTTCTCACTCTCACCTCCCTCAGTTTTCTCGTCATCGCAGACGGTGACAACCTGAAGAGTTCAGTCCTTACACCTATGCCCCTGGAAGGTACTTCTCATCGCACCTGAAACACAACCCCTTAGCCCGCTTCTCCTGGATCTCTTTCTCAATTAGCTTCTTAAAGTTTCCTTCAGGCCCCCCCTCCTCCATTCCTCTCCTTTGGTTCCTCTCGTGAACCCCCCATTGCAGCTCCTTTGGGTGCTAGGAAAGTAGTAGCCATCCTATTGGATCCCCCGGAACTACTGCCTCGACACCCCTTCTCCAGATGTTTCTGATCCTCTACCAGCTGAGCCAACTCCATGGCCTCACCCAAGTCGCACGGTCGCATCACTCTAACAGTTGCTCTGATATCCAGTTTGATCCCCTTCATGAAGTTCCCTTTGAGCACTATCTTAGATAGACGATCCAACCTGCTTGCTAAGTACTCAAACTGATCACGGTACTCTGCCACTATCCCTTCTTGTGTTAAGGCAAAGAATTGTTCATAGAAGTCTCCTTCCCTACCGGTTCGGAAACGTTCCAGTAAGCACTCCTTGAACTCTCTCCAACTCCTAATGGGTTGCCTCATGTCCCGCCACTGGTACCAAGCCAGTGTCTTTCCTTTCAAGCATAGTCCTGCCGCCGTTAGCTTCTCTTCCTCTGTCAGCCCGTTGACGGAAAAAATAACGTTCCACCTTGTAGATCCAACCATGGCCATCCTCGCCCTCAAAGATGGGCATCTTCAGCTTTCTTACCTTCGGGTCACCCTAATGGCCCCTGGCCCCTACATATCCTCCCATGTCGCGAATGGGAGGGGCTCCCCAGCTGTCCCTATCTTCCCTTCAGCGATCAAACTCATATTCGTCATCAACTTCCTCTCTTCATCTTTCAAATTCAGCCCCTCAGTGGTGGAAATCTCCCCTTCTTCCCACAAAATCAGCACTCCTCTTTCCGTACCACATACTCATCTCCTCTTTATAAAGTGGCTCTAGAGGTGGCATGTCATCCTCTCCCTCAATGATCTCCAATTCCAGATTTTTCCTCCCCCTAAACGGGTTCGGATTTCCTCCTACGCCATGGCCTTCAGTGGTCTCTCTTGCTTCGGATGTCGTAGGATTTGTCTTCATCTCCAACAATTTCTTCAACATCACTTTCATCACCGTGAATTTCTCATCCATTCTTTCATTGTTGGAGGTGATTTGATTTTGAAAACTAAAGAATTTTAACTCCAAATCTGATTTTAATTGACCGATTTCGCCTTCCAAGACTTCCACCTTCTTTCCGGCCATCTCTCTTCCCAAGAATCACAAGAGATCTTCCAGAAGCCAAAAACCCGCTGAAATTTCAGAATTTCAGCCGCCGATGGTCCTAAAAACGGTACTCTGATACCAATTTGATAGGAAATACTTGACTCCGCAAGTAACCCTAAGGTAATACTTTAGTTCGCAAGCAAACCTAACCAAAATGGATGAGCAAACAGCAGATTTGCTGCTGTTTACAGCAGTAAAACAGCAAAAATCAGGAGAAAACTGAGAGATGCAGATGGAAATCTGAAGCAAATCCAAGCAATTAACTTGTATTCCACTAGTAGATGAATAAAACAGCAAACGATACAATAATCTTCAATTCGAGAGGAAGATTAACTCTCCAAAATCTCTAGTCAAGAAAGACTAGAGCCCACGCCTCCAAGATGATCCCAAATTCTTTTCAAACTCAAGATGCCCTAAATCACACATTAACTCCTAATTAAAGACATAGAAAAATTACAAATTCCCTAAACAGCCCCTAATTCAAAATTTTCCCTCCCAAAACTGGATTTAACCCAAGTTGGGGCCACAGGGCTTCCGACCCCTGCCTGGTTTCGCTTGGAATAGAACTGGACCGGTCCAGGCTGGACTGGTCCAGCCAGCCCCTCCTGGGCCGGCCTAACAGTAAATTATAAGGTGCATTTGATTTAGCATTGTCATATGTTAGCTAAGATTTTTTAAATTCGTCCTCTCAGACAAACATCCACCTTAGGTCTACAAGATTCCATTGGGCGACAACTCTTAGTTTCTTACTAGGATCCTTCAATTAGGTTTGATTTGACTACCCTCGTTGACTAAGTATACTTGTGTCCATGACAAACGGGGACGATGGGATTATAAGGTGATAAACTTCTCAATATCCTCACCAACCTCTTTATGTTTAAGACTTTAAGGTGATGAACTTCTTAACCCTAATCTAAATTTCTCTCTTATTACTAGAAGGGATAATTAACTATAGGAGCTTATACCTATAAGAACCTTATAACCATATAAGTAAATTCCTCGCAAAATTGAGGGTGAAATCTCTTAGTAGTGTCTTGGCTGCAGTATAATTTTCCTTTTGAAAATTTCACTCAGAAAACATAAATCTATCTCAGCTGATGTGCGAGTTTTTAGATCCCACATTGCGGACAATAAGCATGCAAGCTTGTGGTCATGAGATTCCCATTTTTTTCGGTTGTCTATTCAAGTGCTATTTGGTTGGGTTAGATTGAGCTTCAATTTGGATTTTGATTTAGATTACTAATTTAGTGTAAGGATTTTAGGATCTATTAATTATTTGAATTTCAAATCTATATTCAAAATTTTCAGAGGATTTGTTGAGATATTTTAGCAGTGAAGTTTGTGGAAATTTTGAAGGCAGGTTGAGGAGAAAGCAATGTGAGGAATGAGTCGTGAGAAAAAAAATATGGCAAAAATGTAAGGGGCGGGCGGTGAGAAAAATTGTGGAATTTTGCTGGTTTTTTATATGGATGGGAGAAAACGTGTGGGGAGGGGAAGAATATTGTTCTGTAATCAGGATAAAAATTAGAGATAAAGCTATATTCAAGTGCAAAAGCAACAATAAATTGACGAAAATGAGAGCAAAATAGTAGAATGTTCTGTTTGAAAACATAATAAATTGAAAGATACACTGTTGAATCGTAGAAAACATAGGAAATTAAAAGAAACAAGGGGAAAAAATACCACAATAGGAGATCCCAAGCTATTTTCGTGAATTCTCCAAGGTAAAAAACGTAGAAAACTAACGTAATGGGTCATTGAACTCATCATGACATCAACAATTAGTAAATATGTGGCTAAGTTTATTATATGATAATCATTATGAACATAAGAGAGTAACAAATTTGATAATTAACTTGTAAATTTAAAATTCAAATACATTAATAATATCTTATCTATCTTGATCACTATCAATCGAATAGCAAATGGCATGGTGCATCAGTTATACTCCTTATTGCATAATGTATATCACTGAAGTTTCCCTCCCCATCATCACCCCCTTCTTTTTCACTCCATTCTATTCTAATTTTAGCTGATCATTCTATTTACGGTTAGTTAAGGTTTTGATTACAAATAGCTGACTCTGAAATTAATTTGGTGTGCTGGTGGTCAAAACCCATCCTACAATTTTTAAAACTGTACCCAATTTCTTGCATTGACATGAAAAATTGCTATTTTAACACCTGTTAACAATTTTTTTTAAAATTATGTTAATGCATTGACAACTGTGGGAAAAATGAACACTCTTTAATTGACAATTCTGCTAAAATGATTTCCAGTCATATGCTTTGACTTTGTTACTTCCAATTGTTCACTGCATGTCATAGGTAGCTTTCCCTGCTTGCCGCACATCCTTGCTCCACTGATGTGGATCAGAATTAGGTCTTTTGGAAACGCAACCTTTATATATATCCACGTTGCCAGCCAAACTTTGAAGGGACTATGGTTTAACGTGGCAAAAAAGTAAAAACTTCTGAGGAATTTTTGTGAAGAATTTGATGCACTATAATTTGTCTGCTTGATATTATCTCAGATGCTTGAATTTTATCATCGTTCAATAACTTGAATAACATTGTTTTTTGGCTTCACGTTTGTTTAGCTGTTACTTTATTTCATCATGAATAATCATATGATTTCTCATTTTTGCACTTTTCTCTATAACGCAGTGAAGAGCTTGGCTTAAACTTGACAGAAGCCGCATGGGTAAGTAGGTGGTCTTTTGCTTGAGTAATGTTAGTTCTTATCAAATTATGTTAGTGAGCATCAAAATAATAATTATAGGCTTAAACTCATGCGGTGAACCGTATATTGCAATCACTCTAAACCATCTTGCATCAATTATGATATAGCACTTTTCTAATTCTTAAGTATTTCCTTCTTGGAATGGAGGATTTGAATGTTAACCTAAGTATTACTTGTCTTGTAAAAGATACAGTGAAACTTCGTAACATGAAGTCTAAAAAAAATACATGAAGCCAATAAAAAGATGTGTGTTTTGCAAACCCAAGTGATCCCCAGAGGACAAGAAGAGTCAAGTTTATTCTGTTGGAGTGTTAACCGAACCTTGGAGTGATGCTAGGGGCTGTTGAAGCATGAAGCAAGATAGAGTTGCGCAAGACAACTATAAAGCTGTTTTATCCGGAACTATCTGGGCCATCTTGGGATGGATATGCTAGTCTTTATACTCAAGCTGAGATATTGTAACAGTTGTGTTGGGATTGAACAGAGTAACCTGCCAGAGCTAGTTGGGGTATTTTTATGAGTCTTCCTGTTTGTTTTTTGTTTTACAATCAAGCCTAGTATTCTCTGTACTTCATTTTTACCAGGAGTCATGACACTCAGAGATGCCTCGTAACTGTAGCTATAGGTACTAGGTAGTTCCGGTGAATATATGAATAATTTGTTAATTTGTGGTGGTTAATTTTATTTTGGTAAAACTTTATAAAGGGATGAATACGCATAAAAAATTCTTAGTTAGGATAAGGCAATATTTATATTTTGCTTAATTTAAAATGAATGAGAAAGCAAAATCATCTTGATTTAATGCATCTGCCCCTCCCCGTCCACCCACAAGAGGTGGAAGTTTTGGATCACATTTCTTTTATTGTCTGCAATTAGCAGCTTGTTTAGGAATATTCATTCTTGGGATTAAATAAATATTTCTCAAAATGTTTAAACTGATTAATATAGCGCCTTTAAAAGTAAATGTGCTTAGGTAATAATAAAGTTGTTCTGTGCTAGCTAAAATGTTGATTCAAATTTGTTTACAATATTAATTCGCAGTACTTGCACTACAAAATTATCACATCCCAACATTATCTGCCTCACTGGCTTGTATATTAAATGTGTTAAAATCTTTTTTAATTTTGTATAAAGCTTTTCTTGATGAATAACGTCCATGTGACATTAGGGTTTTTTTCCTCTTGTCTGGGCTCCCATTCAAATTTTAGTCCTCATGATGCACTTTTACTTCTCACTGCAGGTCTCAATACTCCCTCCTTTGGGTTCAATTCTGGTCACATCTATTGCAGCATTATTTGCTGACAACTTGATCTCCAATGGAGTTGAAACTACAACTGTAAGGGAGAAGATGAACATCCAAGTCTTTACTACAATATCATTCTTACTTAATTACAAGTACTTCAATATCATTCTTACTTAATTACAAGTAATCAAACTTTATATAGTAGTAAAAAAATGTATATTTTCACCTTTGATTTTCTTAAAAATGTTTCAAGCAAAAGTTTAGGTGATTTAGTTAAATACTGAATGTAGCATGGTTTACATGTTATGGTGTTTGCACGGCTGGTGTGTATGAATGTTGACATCTCCAAAACTTAAATGTACTATGGTAAGATGTTCACTTTAACGGGCCAGCTTGTTTAGGAATCGATAAATATTTAACCAATTGAGAAAGACGACTTGTGCATTTTTTTCCATAAGTTTTAACTGGTTGTTATGTTTCGTTAACAGTCAAAATGCAGCTTTCTGATGCCATTTCTTCTCTTTATAATATCTTTTACAAGAGGGTTTTGCAGACATGTGTTTTGTCTATAAAAAAAATGAGAAAAATCAACAAAACTTTAGCTTTCATAGGATTTGAGTCAATGCACCTAGAGCATGTACAATGATACGTTTACATGACACGGTACAGGCACAAGGTCTCAACTTTCCTCCAAGAAGCAGAACAATGAGGCATTTTGGGGCATCATAAATAAATGTTAACATGTTATTATAATAAAATATTTGTATAATTAAATTAAACAGTTGCAGAGAAAAGGACAGGTGACAAAAGCTCATGGATTTAGGTGAAAGTCCGGCGGAGATATATATATATATATATATATATATATGAAAATAGATAGAGAGAGGGACACAGATATAAAAAGAGATGAATGTGCAATGGAATAACATGGAGATAAATAAAAAGTTTTGATGTTTTCTGGGGAGGTATTGAAACTAAAAAGTCTAAAAGTTAATATGAACGTTAATTTGAAATCCATTCTCATTTTCCAAATTTTCCTAGAAAAAAGGTTTTATGAACAATCCAAGAAAGCATCAAGTTTCTAAGGCGTGCCCAAGAAAAATTAAAATCACAGGACATTAGGAAATGTGATATAGGTTAGGGTTAGAATTCCTTAGATCTTGATTTCTTGTTGGTTGCAGTTGTTTGAGCAGAGGAATTTGCGAGTATAAGAGTTTTGATTGGGCTAGCGGTTGGAGAAGAGACGGAGAATTGCAGATGAAGACAAAGGAATAGGAGGAAAGAGAGGAATTGGTAGGGGAAAGCAAAACCAAGCGTGGACTGTAGAAATCCATATATTTAAAGAAAGCTTAAATATTTTCTAAATATAAATCACTGTTAAAAAACATTAGTCACACACAATGTTTATATCAAAATTAAGTCTTTATTTAATTAACCATTCCCTGAAGGTATCTAAGATTTGTCTCCAGAGGGTTTTGCTGAAGATGCTCATCAAGAAGGTTGGGAGAAATGAATTGTTGCTCGTCATTATGTCACTTAATAATCATTTAAAGGCGCATGTTTTTTTCGATTTGACAAATATTGATGCTCATCTTAAGGATCCAATGTAATTTCATTTGATCTGCTTTAACATTAGGAATTGATGTAGGAGTCGGTTGAAGAATTCAACTGACCTTATTGGTGGAGATACTAAAATTGCACTAGTAGAGATTACAAGTAGGCAATTTTGAAGGCTAGAAGTATCTCTATATGATATTTATTCCTCAACTTTGAGAAGAATTGAGGGAGAGAGAACTTTTGTGTGTGTTGGGGGGAGGGAGGGAGGGAGAGAGAGAGAGAGAGAGTTTTGCTTCCAAGATTAATTTCCTAACTCATTCATTAATTCCCCTCCTCTTGACCATAGGGATAGTATAAAAAAATAACCCAAGAAAGTTGCATGAAATAAGAGAAGAAACAAAATAAATTAAATTTTTTCTCATGGGTAAGTCCAGGTACATTAAAGTAATTCTAAATATTTTCTAAACATAAATCACCAATAAAAATAACTAGGATTATGATCGGATTGAAGGAATGGAATAAATGACGTTTGAAATGCTGATTTTGCTTCTTGAATTTGACATTTGTGAAGCCTTTGTCAGATTTAAAGTAGTTATGTGGCTTTAAAACTAAGGAGAGGATGAAAAGGTCTGTTCTTAGCATCTCTTCACCTCTTTCCATGTTCCTTTTAGTCGTAATCATAGTCAATAGCTTTGCAAGGTGATCAAGTTTGGAATGGAAAGATCTCGATATCAATATGATATTTTTTCTGGGTTGAAGGAAGATGTGTAGCTACTGGCTATTAGCGGCAGTAGTAGCAAAGAAAGAAGCATCTCCATCTACTTTACTGAGAAAAAGAGCCACAATGAAATTAGCTAGTGAGGAAGGGACTGCAGACTATGTTTCAATTTATGATAACTTGCGTGATTTTTATGGGATTAATTTTGATCAATAACTTGTTTATTACATGTAGGTACGAAAAACTTGCCAAACAATTGCTTTTTTGTCACCTGCAATTTGCATGACGCTTTCCTCTTTGGATCTAGGGCTGCCTCCTTGGGAAGTTGTTGGTGTTCTTACTTGTGGTTTGGCACTATCAAGCTTCGCATTATCGGGTAACCTTTTGATCTATCTGATGATTTTATATCTGTTATGGGGTCAATTTCGGGTCACGGGTAGGGTTCGGGTCGAACTCGAAACTGACATGGAACTATTCGGGTTAGCTCGAACCCGACCCGATTTTGCAAACGGGTCGGTTTTTTGGACCTAAACCCAAACCCGACCCGCTTCGGGTCGGGTCAACCCGACACGACCCTGAATGACTTGGTTCCAATAAATAACTGCTAGTTTTCGGGTCCAAAAACAGGTCAATCTCCGCTTTTCGAGTAAAAAAAGGGTCAATCTCGGGTTGTCGGATCAAAATGAATTTTCGAGTAAAAACGGGTCAATTTTCGTTTTTGGGTCGGATTCGAGTCGGGTTTTCGAGTCGTGCCAAATATTGACACCCCTAGTATATGTGATTTGTATCTTTAGTTCTTATTAATCACCTGTTTCTTTAATATTTTTACGTTTTTGTTGTCTCTGCAGGACTTTATTGCACCCATCAAGACATTTCTCCCGAGTATGCTAGCATTCTTCTGGTATGTCACGCCGCAAATTGTTTAAACATTTGTATTGGAATTATACTTTATGTAAAAAGAAAATTCTTCTCTAAAATCTCTCCATACAAAGTTCCCTTTTGGGTAAGTTATGCCCACACTGACAACAATGTTTCAATTCCTTTCTTAGGGTATTACAAACACAGTAGGGGCGGTACCTGGAATCGTTGGTGTTGCGCTCACCGGCTATCTTCTCGATTCAACTCATTCATGGGGTGTAAGTCTTCCATTTTTTTTTTCTCGGTCCCATTCTGTACACTTTCATATTACATGAACCCTTACAGAGATACCTCTTCTGCAGCTATCACTGTTTGCACCTTCAATTTTCTTCTATCTAACGGGCACAGTTGTATGGTTATTATTTGCCAGTAGTAAGCCTCAAACCTTTACCTAAATTGATTTAGGCTTCGTTTGGGACGGCTTTCTTATTGTTTCTTAAAACAACTTTAGTATAAAAATTTTAATTTTTTACTAGAAAGTTGCTTTAAAAAGTAGTAAAAAGCCGTCCCAAACGAATTGATCTACTGGTTATGAAATGACTCTAATGGAATCAGTCCAAGATTTTCTTACTGGATAATAGAGTTGAAAGAGTGCAAATTGTTGCTTCTTTGGTTATTTTTATGAGAGATGGAAGATAAAGGCAAGGATCATAGATCAATTTGCTTTGTAATGGAAATTAGTTAAGGTAGGAGAAAGAGGTTCTGTCTGGATTTTGAGATGGCATATATAGATTTTGTATATATATAACACTGTTTAGTTCTATAGAAAATATTGCAGGAAATATTGTACAGATTCTTTTTGTATGAAATTCAAAGAAATGTACTGTAGGTGGGAGAGGGACATTCATCTCTTTATTTATATGAATTATACTTTATTTATATTTTGTTTATGCAATGCTACAGCTGCTACCATAACGGTTATGTATGAGGTGAAATATTCTATGATATCCTTCAGAGCATTTAAACTCTGATTGGTTGGCAGGTGTAATTTTATAGAAAAATTTATTATGTGCGGACATTGGATGTTCGGAGGCGGATCAAAGTACGGTACGTCGTCTTTTTGTTATGTACTGTGGCTGCATACTCGTTGTGTATCATGTGATGTAGTGCGCTCTGATTCGCCTTCAAACGGTCCAATATCCGCACCGAATAATTTCTCAATTTTATAATTGTTGTCAGGGTAAAATTATGGATCCCCAAAAACTCAATATGAATTTGATCCACAAAATTTGGTTTTGGGTTGACCAGTTTAAAGAATGGGTCAAATTTGAATTTTAAATCTTAACTCTTTTAAAAAAATTGGATCAGATTAGGGTCAAACTGTCAATTCAAAAATGTTGCGAAATGAGGATTTAAGTACTGGTTTCGTCATTTCTTTTGGTTCATGAATGATTGCATGAGGCGGGCTTAGTTAAGCAATATCATGTTTTTTTTTTTTTTTTTTTTTTTTTTTTTTTTTTTTTTTTTTGATAGGCTGTAGTTAAAGTATTTTTTCATAAAAAGTAAGTATAATGCATTTAAAATTAATAAATAAGTGATAAGTAAAATGTAAATAACAAAGTATATTGTGGAATTTGATTTTATATGACTAAATATATCTGAAATTGGTCAAATATGTCTATTATTTTCTTATTTATTTTGAAAGTAATGTGTATGAAAATAAAAATTTAAATGCTAATATACATTATTTTATCTGAAATTCCCTATTGAAATTTATCGTGCATGAAATTGATTTGAATTTTGTTCAAATGTATGTTTGCGAAACTTGGGAATTCAAGGGATTGGCAAGCACATGAAGGAAAAGGGTGGTGATCCAATAAAGCTCGATGTGAAGAAAGATATTGATGAGATTTTTGTTTTGTTTGTGATAATTTTTTGTAGTATCTTTTAAAATAGTTTTTTATATAAAAAATTTTAATTCAACAAATTTTATACTAAAAAGATGCTTTAGAAAGCAACAAAAAATTTGTCTTAATTAGGTTTCATTTGGGAGCTTTTTTAATATTTTTTAAAACAAGTTTTAATACATAAATTTTCAATTTAAGAAAGGTTTATGTTAAAAAACCGTTTAAAAAAGCAATAATAAAACTAAATCAAACAAAACCTTAGTAGTGTATGAAAGGAGAAGGGATAGACCTAGTAAGCTAGTGATTGCTTTGTGATTATAATTTTAATTAACACTGATTAGGATCTAACTACTTTTAATTGTAGTAATTGACCCGAATTAGTACATTAGATAACCTGGGTAATTAGTAATTACTTATCAGATGTTTATGCTAATCGAAGCTTAATGCAATTAGTTGATGACGTCTAACTCATCATCCAAATATAGATCCATATGTCAATTCAAAAAATTTCTCTAACTATTATTTCATTAATCTAATCCACATTATTTATCTATAAATATTTATTCTTTGATTGATCGTTTCTATTTATGACTATGTTCTGCTATGGCTATTATATTATATCCTTAAAATTGAATTCTATTTGTGTAATGATAACTTTGTTGTATCTTTTAAATTAAACCCTATTGTATATACTCTTTATTGTGTTTAGGTTAGGCCTGTCCATATTGGACCCGACTCGAAAACTTGACCCTAACCTGACCTGAAAATTTCGGGTTTGGGTTGACCCGAAACGGGTCGGGTTCGGGTCTAGAAAATCGACCCGTTTGATAAACCGGGTTGAGTTCGGGTTGACCCGGAAACTCGGGTTCGACCCGAAATAACCCATAAACCCGGCTGTCGTTCCGCATCACCGCGTCGCGGAGTCGAGCGCGCACCGCATCGCGCGCCACCCCGCTGCTGCGCAGTCGAGCGCGCCCCGCTCCGCATCGCACACGCGCAGTCGACTGCCTGCCCCGTTGCCAGGGGTCCACAGCTAGTCGCGACCGCTGCTCAGTGCCCGCGTCATTCACTCGAGCAACCGACTTGGTGAGCGCGCCCTGCGTCCCTCACTCGCGCCCTGCCGCGCACCACCGCGACTCGAAATTGGGGGTCATTCACTCGAGCTGCCGCACACGACCACGACCGCGCCCTACGTCGCTCACTCCCGACCGCGGCTGAAACAAGTGGGTCGGGTTGACCCGAACCTGAAGTGGGTCGGGTTCGGGTCTAGAAAATCGACCCGTTTGTAAAAACGGGTCCGGTCGTCCTGAACCCGAATAGTGTCGGGTCAATTTCAGGCTTGACCCGAACCCGACTCATGACCCGAAATTGACACCCTTAGTTTAAGTTGTTGGAGTGCTTTCTAATGTGTTATAATTGTTATGATTATACTTATTAAGCTGTGTCAATATTGCAGTATGTTGTGTTAGAATCATTGGAACACTCCCTGATGTATCTGTCCTAAGGCAAATCATGGCTAAGCTTTGTTTGAACTTGATCGAGTCATGCTCAATCAACAAATGAACCTTGTTCTAAACTTGTTCAAACTTTGACAATGTTCAAATTGTGTTTGTATTATATTCAATCAGGTTATGAATACGGTCGAGAACATATATAGGCAAATATTTGGATCTGTTGTGGATGAGGAGTAAACATTACAATGACGAACCAAGCAAGAAAGTAAACGCAATGGAAAATAAAAGACATTAGGATTTAACTTGGGAAAATTCAAAATAAAGAAAAAAAAAATCATGGAGGCACAGCACACTAAGAAATCCACTATGAAATTTGGGAGAATAAGTACATATCTCTATTATCTATCGCTCTCTCATTGTTTATCTTTTTACATGCACCGTTCTCTGTCTACACTACGCAAAATATAAGATAAAGCCAAGTAAAAAACCCCAAGGGACGCAACCATTTAGAAAAACAAGAAAGAAAACTGTCCAGTCCGGCTCGCAGCGCTGCGACGCCAGTTTGGGGCACTGTGACACTCATGCCTTTTGCCTAATAATGTTGCAACACTCAAACTCACAATGTTGCGTCGCCAAATCCAGAGCGTTGTGACGCTCTGCTCTTTGTCGTCCAATGTTGGGGCGCTCAGCAGAAACACAATGTCGGGGGCTTGAGTACACAACGCAGGGCGTTGTACAGAAAAAAAAAAAAAAAAAGTTTGGTGCAGCTGAGGGTAAACCACCCGCACCCCCTATCAAGCATGACAAACTTGAGATTGGAGGTAATAAAACAATCTGATTGATCAACACAATCAAATTCCACACATAACATGATCATATTTGAATCTTATTCATCCAATATGGATTGAAACTTTGCTCGAATATGGTTCAAATCACATTTGAATAATATTCGAATATGATCCAAATCTTGCCTCAATGTGATTTCATTATTACTCTATTCTTATTCGAATTTATATCTTTCGAAGTAATTTTCAAATAAATGGTCATATAACAAAATGCATTTTAATAATAATAATAATAAACTTAGGTGTAATTTTTTTTTAAAAGAGCATTCTGCAAATACGATTATCATGAGTTATATAAAGTCAATTTTAACTAATGAAAATTGCAACCATATAGTATTCATATCAGAGCTACGGCCTTAAGAATATCGTCCATACTCAAGGAAGGGTTTCCGAGAAACCCTGGAGAAAATCCGAGGAGCTACACTGGTTAGTCATGGGGAAGATGAGAAGTCATCTTCTCACATGGAAGGCTTCGAGGTTCTTCTCCACCTTGCTTTGGCTTTACGTTGCTTCCTATGCTTCGGCCGATGAGATCTTCACATCCGCTCCTGGTATACCCAATTCATTTTTCTTTGTTTTGTTGATCTCTCCTGCTATTTATTTCACACGCATGCAATAGTTCTTGCAAAATAGGCATTTTTTGTCCTTGTTCTATCATCACCTTCCCCCTCAAATCTTCGCCATAATTGACGCTTACAAGTGTGAAAGATTAGACTGGATGTGAATGTCACAGGGAACAATGTTTTCGGCATCTTACAACGGCCGTCTCTTGTCCTGCTAAATCAATATATTTCCGGTGATTTTTTTTTCTCGTTGTACCTGGAATTTTTTTAATTGTTGTTTGGTAAGGCAAATGTTTTACACCTTGTAACAAAAGCGGAAATGGGTAGAAAAGCGTTATAGTTGCAATGCACATGCAGACATCTTGGATCACTTGCCGGAAGAATGACATTGTTTTTTTTTTTTTTTTTTTTTTTTTTTTGTTATATTTTAAGAAAAACGCTGGTATTTGAATGCTAGAAGATGACTTATTGGTAATATACTTATAGGATCAATGGTGTTTAAAAAATCATTAAAAAATTTTTTGGAAAATATAATAAGAAAGTCAACTTCGATCAATAATATAGGAGGGGAACGTGCTTGACCAAACTCAACTTCATCTAGGAACAATGAAGATTGCCCCAAACATATTAGCAAGTAAGTCATCAATATAATGACTGAATGTTCATAATCTATGACTAGCATTGCTTGCAAAGATTGTAAAATAATTCTTAGTAAAAGTTTATGTATCCAGCATGGCAGCATCACTTATTATTTTTTAACTTTAAGATAAAGGGACAAATTATAAAAAATAAGATAAAATGTTTTCCTAAGAGGCATTCAAAAAATACTAACAAAAATATTTTTGACATAAAGATTCAAGATCTTATGATTTTAATTGTGCATGTGGAAGTTAATGTTTTGTGGGAAAAAGTAGTTAGTGATTTTAAGAATATTACAAAGGATGTTGTTATGTCTCCAAAAAATCATCTTGATCTAGCATGAATCTCAATGCAAATTTGAATTTGAAAATTCCAAAGTTAAATTCAGGATCATCCAAACTCCGATTTCAGCAAACTTATAGTCAAATTGAACATCTCAAGGAGACGAATCCAACAAAACCAAATTTGGTCTAATCTGAACCCAAATCAAAGGACCAAACATATTTAAAAGCTTCAAAACATTAATTGGATACCTAAATGATATCCAAATATGACATGCTTATAGTCGAATCGGGAGACTCGACAAGAAAAATCCAATGAACCTAAGATCACTCAATTCTGACATTATTAAGGCACCAAAATGATCGACAAATGCTTCATGATAAAAAAAATCAGTATGATCTATCCTATGGAACACTCTGTTAGGCCGGTCCGGGTCTATGCCAGACGGAACCATCGGCCAAACAAGGAGGGGGCGAAAGCCATGGTGGGCCCCAGCTTGCATTAAACCACTTGTTGGAGGGAAATTTTGAATAGGAGGGTTGTTTAGGGATTTTGTATAAGTCCTTTTGCTTTAATTAGGGGCTAATACTAGAATTAGGTTTTATCTTGAATTTGAATTATAATTTGAGATCTAGGGTTCTTTTGCTTTGGGCTCTTTGCATTGCCGAAGATTTGGAGAGTTGTTCTTCCTCTCGGATTGAAGAATTGTATTTTTGCTATTTTACTTCATCGTCTAGTGGAATACAAGTCTCTACTTGAGTTTTCTCTCAGATTTCTCGTTGTTTTCCTTGTGTGGCTGCTGTCCCCTGCTGAAAACATTCCTGCTGTTTTCCACTCCGATTTCAATTAGGTTTGCTTGCGAACTCAAGTATTCCTTAGGGTTACTTGTGAACTCAAGTATTTCCTAACACACTCTGAATTAGCTCAAGATCTTCTCCATATTTATTGAGCATGTCAATCCCAAAAAATTATAAATATGCCCCCATTCTTCTCTTCACATGAGGGGAGGAAGAAAAAGTAGAAAACTATATAGCTCTTTTGCATTTTCTAGTCTTTGTTGCTATTGCCCAATCTCTTCCCTGCCACCGATTGTCATTGGACTTTCACCCATCTATTGATTATCATTAAATCTCCTCCCTGGCGTCGCCATGACCTATCTCATCCCTGGTTTGCCGCTGTCGTATCTATTGCCGACTACTGACCATCGTTGAAACTCCGTTCGACCACCTGACTACCTCCATCATCGGATATTTGCTAAACTTCTCCCAACTGCTGACACCAGGCTCTAACATTCATCGTTTGATTGCAATCATTAAAAATTCCTAAGTAACTATACAAAGTTTGGTCAATTCTCCAATCAATTATAATTTTACTATCTTTAAATTAAGGGACACATTGACCTTTATAATCTACTCAGATATAGTGGAATCTTTTCACCTAGCAAGCCCTCATGGTTTTTCTCTCTTTGAGCTTTTCACGTAAAAAATTTATGGTGTTCCCCTATCATCTCAATTATCTGTTTGTGTGCTGAATTTTTGTGCATCGCTAAGATAAAAAAACTCTCACTCTTCCGCTTCGAATCTTTCATCTCGCAAAAAATGTGCTTGGAGCATTAAAAGGAAAAGCTCCAAATAGTAAAAATAGTTGGTGGTGGAATCAAATATGCGAGAAAGGATAAAAAATAAGAAACTTCGTTATAAAAATTGGTTTAGGTTTAAAAGCTCAGAAAATTGAGAAAGATATAAAGAGATCCGCAATAAGTCTAAGAAAGCAATATGCAATACAAATATTTTAGCCTTTAATGATTTATATAATAAATTAAATATTAAGGATTGCGAAAAATATATTTATAAATTATCTAAGCAAAGAGATAAGAGAAGTAAGAATTTAGTTAAAATAAAGTGTATTAAGGATAAATATCAAAAAGTGTTTTTATTAAAAGATGATATTCAACAAAAATGGATGAGATACTTTATTAAGCTTTTCAATGAAGATTGTGAGAATACGATTGAATTTAGTAACCTTAATATCCTAAATGAATATATATATATATATATATATTTTTATTGACATATTAGTAAAACTAAAGTTAGTGAGGCTTTAAACAAAATGATGTGCGAAAAAGTTGTTGGACCTAATGATATTCCAATAGAGGTGTGGAAATGCTTATGAGGTAAAATAATTTCTTAACTTATGAAACTTTTCAATATTATTTTGAGACTAAAAGGATGCCAAATAAGTGGAGTGTATTGATTCATATTTTTAAGAATACTGGTGATGCACAAGAGTTTACGAATTATAGAGGAATTAAGTTAATGTATCATACGTTAATACTATGGGAGAGAGTTATTGAGTATAGGTTACGATGTGATACTAATATTTCTTAAAACCAATTTGGATTCGTGCCACATAGTTCTGCTATGGAAGCTATACATTTTTTGAGAGGTTTGATGGAGAAGTTTAGAGAGAATAAGGAACATCTACATATGATATTTATTGATTTTAAAAACAACATATGATAAAGTTTCAAGAGAAGTGCTCTAGAGAGTTCTAAAAAAGGGGTGGGGGTTACTAATAATGTTTATATTCAAGTCATTAAGGATATGTATGCAGAAGCCATTACTTGTGTTCAAACACAATGTGGTTTTACGAAGTATTTTCCTATTTTAGGTCGATTACATCAAGGTTCAGCTTTAAGCCTATATCTTTTTGCTCTTGTCATAGATGTTCTTACTATAAATTTGCAAGAGGAAGTACTATGGTGTATGCTTTTTGTTGATTATATTCTTCTTGTTGATAAGACTAGAGAGGGAGTGGAAGATAAACTTGAATTATAGAGTCAACCTTAAAGTCTAATGGTTTTTGTCTAAGTAGATCTAAAACCAAATATATGGAGTATAATTTTAGTAGTAATAGATCTAGTGGGGAGACTGTAACTTTGGGCAAGTACTTGTTATAGATATCTCGGGTCTATTCTTCAAAGTGATGGTAAAATAGATGGGGATATTATTATTAGAATTCAAGTTGGATGGTTGAAGTGGCGGAATGCATCGGGCTTATTGTGTGATATAAAAGTACCCCTCAAACTTAAAGGAAAATTCTATAAGATGGTGGTGTGGCACAAAAACTTTGTCATTAAAAAGGCAAGCATAAAATTATGCTAAGTGTTGCAGAGATGAATGCTCAAGTGGATGAGTGGCTTCACTCTTAGAGACAATGCGAAACAGGCATATACGTGAAAAGGTTGGAGTAGCTCCAGCGGCAGATAAGATTAGCAAGAGTCGCCTTAGATAATTTGGTCACATAAAACATCAGCCTTCTGATCACCCGGTTAGGAAAGTAGATGTGTTAGATTTGACCTATATTAAGAAAGGTAGAGGTAGATCTAAAAAGACTTGGTTAGAAAATATTAGAAATGACATTTTTATTAGATTTTAATGAAAATTTGACCCTTAACAGAACTCGATGGAGAAAAATGATTCATCTAGCCCACCCTACGTAGTGGGATAAAGGCTTGATATTGTTGTTGTTGTAATGTTCATAATCTATAAGAGGCCCCAAACATATTAGTTTAGCAGTTTAAACTAATCGATTGGTGCATATTCTTTCTCTGTTCAATGTTCAACATTAACTTGTAATTTAATTCAGTCATTTCTTTTAATAAAAACTTCGGCTAGAGATGATGATCAATTCCTTTCATCAAAGGAACTATCCTTCATATAGTTCAGCCAAGCATAGAAATATATTATGTTCCATATTGTTTTTCTTTGAGGAGACACTTGTGCAATGATGCTTTGGATGTAAATTATAAATATTAAATTGTAAAAAGAACCTTTTATTCGTTAAAGTAAATAATTCCTTTTGCACTCATTTTCTCTAAGGATGATATGAGAGATACTATGCTTTATGTTGTATGCATATCTTGGTATTTTTTACTTTTAAGAATTGTTTCAACGATAACATTGTGTTCCTAAATTTGGGGCTATAAACAAGCTAGTGCAATTAATGAACAACTTGATACTCGCTCATATAATGCTCATTTATGTTTGCTTATTCTCATAATTGAACAAGCATAAATAAAATTTTAAAAGCTCGTCGTACAAATGAATATGTTAGAACACCATCTTGCTTATTAATTTATGTCCGTAAACATCTCACTTGTTGTTTAACAAATTGCTTGCTATCTTATTTTTTTATTTGATGACTTAATCTATATTATTGTGTCAATTTTCCTAGAATTTATATATTTAAAAATTATGTATATTATTATATGTATATACATATGATGAAAATATCAAATAAATAATTAGACAAATTTAAACATTTTTGTATTATTATATAAACTTTACCAAACAAATCAAATAATAAATGAGTGAATTATATTAATTTTACTTAAATTTTATAAATCCAATTATACCTAGTAATTAGCTATATGTTTAAACTATTAACATCAAACATATAATTATTTAGGCTTGATTAAAGCTCGATTTCGGATCAAACTCTATATGAAAAGTATAAAATAAGCTTGGATAAGATTTTAAAACTTGAATTATATTCTAGCTCAGTTCGAACTCTATAAGAAAATAAATTAATGAACTTGATCAATGTAATATTTGGCTCGACTGAGTTCATTTACAATCAAGCTAGAATAGAGAATCGTCCTTGACTAGAAGATGTAAATAAAAGGTGAAGCAAGGCAAACAATAAATATTTCAGAATTAGCAAAATTGTTTTTTTTTTGCTGATTACTTTAACAAATTTGCATAGAAGTGTTCTTATACTATCCAGTTTTCATTCTATGCACCCTATCGAGAGTCATTCTCAAGTTTTTTTCTCATTAGCTTTAGAATATGTTGAAGTTTGACTGTTACTTCTTACTTGTTGGCAGAGTAATATATTATTGATGCATAGATATTGTGTTATTTATCTACTACCTTTTGTTGCAATATTGCTGTTATCTTTGATAGATATCTCTTAGAGTCAGCTTCAGCTAGGGAACTTGATTGGGATTTCTAATTGATTTTATTCTTACAAGTATTAAATGTTTTGCTTTTTTAATTCTTTCTATCAGGTGTGAGATTTGGTCGCAGCTCACGTGAACCAAAGTATAAGATAGAATTTCATGAAGCAAATTCTCATTTTCATACTGTATGTAAATTCTATTTATACTTCTTCTCTGATACTTTCATGGCTACCCTTCTTTTCTGTTAAATAAGCTTCCTGGACATAGAATTACCACTTATATGATTGTTTGCAAGCACAGCAGTATTTATTTCTTGGTGACTTTTATGCACTTTTAGTTTTTCTTGAGAATTTTACCTATTTTCAAGTAAATTTTATCAAATCTGATGCAAGGGTTGTCAAGAACTTGTTTTATGTTGCAAACCATAAATCTCCAAGTTAGAGATCAAGGCCAATACCACTCAACCTATGATGCACCGACACGGACACGGCAACACGGACACGGGACACGGCATTTTTTAAAAATATAGGACACGGGTGCGGCGTGGACACGGCATAATAATTTTTTAATTTAATATATATAAATTAAGGTAATATTATATTAAAAATGGCAAGCAATAATAAATCAAAGTCATGATAATTTGTTTAGCTTATAACATAAAGATGTTTAATACAAAATGTCTAGTTCAACCACAAAAATTAAAATATAACCAAAAATTCATTTAGTACAACTTAAAAGTCCAACTACTCAATAGAGGGAATGATAGAATTAGATTCAGAGGTTGGTCTTTGACCTTCGATATTATCATCATTGAATATCATTGCTTGCAACTCTGGTTCATCTAGAGAAAGATTTGCAACCTCCAATAATCCCATATCATCAATGCACTCGAACCCATCTCCAGCAACATCCAATATTTTGTTATCACCTATCATATAAAGTGGGATTTTCCTTGATAGAAGACGAAGATTTGTATGCACATAAATTAAATTTTCAGCCCGTTGTGGAGTTATTTTATTCCTCCTCATTGATTGAATAAATGATTACGTGCTCCAATTTCTCTCACAACAGGAAAAGGATGATACTTGACCAAGAAGTTTTATTGCTATGGTTTGAAAAAGCAGTGCTGAAGCTCCATGAATCAACCACCACATTTTTGGATACATCCTCCATCTATCAACCAAAGATTCTTGATCACCAAAATCCTCTAAATATCCAAGGAACTTTGCAAGTTATATATTAATTTTTCTTCTCCTTCTCATTTGAAAAATATCATTTCAAGCATATCTTTCTCATATTTGACACTTCTAAATCTTTTTTGTACTGAGACATATTGAGGGTCTTCTTGAAGTCATTCTTTACTTGAATACCTTCAAATAATACAAAGCTTATAAAATTATTTAATTATTTATCAAGAAATTTAAAATTAATTTAAAAGATGAATACAAATGACTATCACCTCTTTAATCAAATTGGCAATAAAATATTTATCCATGTATTATTTTTCACAATTCACAGCTTTAAGAAACATTGGGCAATTCTCTGTAACGGCCATGAAATTAATAAGTGGTCTTCTTTAAGGATCAGTCCAACCATCACATATCAAAGTGACTTCTTTTTTCTTTCCACACACATTTTGTTGGTTCAAGCAATGTTTTAATATGTGCTCTTTCTCTTTCCAATAATTTTGGGAGGCATTTTGTAATTATTTGATGAACCTGATCGACTCCTATCTATCCATTTAGGAGGATCGAGTTCAAATTTATTGTCCCGCACAGCTTCCCTAGACGTCACATGTGTACCAATAACACGCTCTTCGGAGCCCATGCGGGTGTTTAAGGGTATTTTGTAATTATTTATTGAACCTTGTCGACTACTATCTACCTGCTTAGGAGTATCTGGTTCAAATTTATTAACCCACGCATCATCCCTTGACGTCACGTGTTCTACAACACGCTCGCCGAGGCACATGCGGGTGTTTGATTATATTTACCCCTTTTGTGTACCTATATGTATACAAACTACAGTGCATGTACGGGGGTATTCTTGAAATATTTGTAAACGCCTTCTGTCCGCTTGTATAGATGTTGCGGATCCGGTGGCGTATCGTAGTAGCTTTTGAATTGACTTGTTCGCTGCTTTATATAGATAGAATGTCGTGCACTATTTATTGTTTTATGCAGTTGGATTATAGTGCACTAACGAATCTCCTGCTTTTGGATATAGGTGAATCGTTGCGTTGTCACCTGATTGTAATGAGACACATCAATATTCTGATGTAAACTCCCTTTTATCATTCACCGAGTGGTTTTTCTCGAAATTCGTGATCGCTGATTTGAAAAGAACTCCTTTTAGAATCTTTAGTGTAGTAGACATCTGCATAGTTGGCTTTCTAAATGAATAGATGTATCTAGGTGCACTTGTTATTTCCAGTATTCATGGATTTTAGAACTATTATCTTCCAAAGTTTAAAAACACAAAGAAATTTTGGAAAACCGAGAAGTTTAGTTCGAATTTGTTCAAACATCTATTCCATTATGCCAGGAGGTATCTTTCTCCATACACCGAGTTGTCTCCATACTTGACACACTCACAAATCTTAATCATCGTTGTTATAGATGATATATGTACTTGTGTCCACAAGGGTTCGTTCTACTTATGGACCCACTGTTGTTATCCACAAGTAGCTCGTGTTTATTTACAGGAACCTGTTGTATTCACCACGGCCTCCTGGAAGTGTTCGTAGAAGAGCCATTGTTCCCACATGATATCCACCTTTCATCAATCTCAAGTGGTTTGATGTACTTGTTTGCAAGGATGGGCCTTCCACTATCAATTGACAGTGTTACTACCTCAATTCATAGGCAAATTGTTGTTTGTGTTAAGGCTCTCGTTGGCACAAGTAGGAAACATTCGTACATTCCACAGTTTAATTGTCGTCTCTTACAAATATAGGGTATTCAGTTGCATGCAAACTAATAATGTTGGCTATAATACATCGTCATTTTCAATGTTTATTGTCTTTATACGAACTGTTGTGTGTATAATAGGCCTTCATTAATGCATGTGGGAGATAATCGTGCATTCAACACATGGCTATTATTGCTTGCAAGTACAATATACTTGACCTCATAGGAACTGTTGTGGGAGTTTGTTTTATTCATCATGGTTCCCTTGCATATACTTGTAGGATGATGGTTAATGATATTGCTAAGTCCTTGATTTTGCCTTTGGGATGAACACTCGTATTATAGATCCTTTTTTTTCTTTCATTGACCCATGCTTGCAAGCTTGCAAGCAAGTTAGGTCACAAGCTCACTTGTTCATTAACATTTGTTTGAGTGCACTGAAGGTTTGATTTAAATCAAGTCTAAGTTCATAAGTCCTTGCAAGTTCTTATATTCAGTTCACATCAAGCAAACGTTCAAATTTGCAAATCCCTTGATGTTCAAGAGTTTGCAAGCTCAAGTTCTAGTAATCTTGAAACTTCAATTTCTTATCACTTTGGTTAAAGTTTAAGTTAGGTCCCTTATCTGCATTTGTCCAAGTTTGAGTCCAAGTTGCAAGTTAAAGTTCTATGTCCCGTTGATGGGGACATCAGATCATCATGGAAAGTTTATCAGAGACGTGGCCGCCGATCTACTGCCACGATCAAGTCTTTATATGTCTGATTCATTGGTGTATTTTATTATTCATGTATTTTGTTATTTGCTTAGGTGTATTTTATTATTTCCCGTTGTACCCCTCTTATGGGAGTTGTCGTATGTAAGCCCAAAGGGCATTTGTGTCTTTTGTTTTGAGTCATTTGTATGAGGCTATTTAAAGCCCCACTTTGTTCTATTTTGATTAATGAATGTTTGATTATTAAAATTTCTTCTTGCATGAGTATTGAGAGAGCTTGAGAGTTCTAATGGAGAGAGCTCCCTATGAGAGGAAAAACGGATCACCCACCAACCTTGGAGACGGCCAGGTTCGTGGTTCTCTTCTTTGTCTTTCATCTTTCCCTTTTACATTTCCTTTTTCCAACATCCTCGCATTCCAATCCACCTCCAAACCAAGCCCACATCTTCCCATAATCAATCTCTCCAGTTTCACCCACCCACAAGCTGCCGACCACCTTGGCAGAACCCCACCTCCCGCCAGCCCCTTTCCTGCCAACCTCCCCTTGCCTCCTTGCCAAATTCGGGTTGCTCAATTTAGGGGCTGATTTAAAATTCGAATTCAAATAATTTGAGTTTTGAAATCTTTCCTAAATTAGTTAATCTATTTTTTGAAAGTTTCTAAATTGACACTATTTTGAATTCAAATTTAAATAGAGTCAATTAATTACTTTCCTAAGTTCCAATCTAATTTTGGCAAGCTTGCACACTTGGCAATCAAACCCCCACTCCACCTTGATGCCGCCGGGCCCCTCTCTCTTAGCCTTTTAATGTTTTCAAATTATTTCCTAAATCCAAGTCTATCTTTAGGAAATAATTTCACATATTCTAATCTCCCCCCAAACCGAATTTCCTCAACTCTATTTCCTATTCTATTCCCCAAATCACTGCACTGATTTTGGAAATAGAGAGTCTCCAGATTTTTTTTATTTTCCCACCTTCTCCCTCCTCTTAATTGTTCCGGATTGCTTCCCTATTCAAGAACCTGGGATTGGAATTTCCTCTCATCTTTTCTCTTCACCATTAAGCCTAGACTCCTCCCTCAAAATTTCTCTACATCCTAGTATACTAAAACCTGAGAATTCATCTCAGATTTTTGTTAGAAATCTGAAACTATTTTCAGATTTTTGAGAACACTAGGTCTAGAGTTTGTTTTCTCTTCAAAGTGCAAGAGAAACTTCTTTCTCTTTGCCACTAATCAAGAGGCCTCCCAAGTACCTAGAAGATTCTACACTCAAGCATCTATGAATGGCGGATCCGGACACTGATTACGGCATAACTTGGGACGAAGACGGCTACGTAGATATCCTACAATCTACGTTCTTCGACGTGAACCCAAGAGTTGATTTCACCGTCGAGAATTACTTGGAGCGTACATTGATATACTTGGTAGAGGCTATCGACGAACATTTTGAAGGCATTGAATGGAGCATCTCCACTAACCCTTGACGAAGGTTTCTTCTCTCCCGAGCATCTTATTCCTTTTAGTCTAAATTCTTGTTGGTTTGATTGCAGTGACGACGGAC